ATGTCCTTATCCCCGGAATATCCCTATCCCCGGGTATCCCGATCCCCGGGATGTCCCTATTACCTGTGTGTCCCTATCCCCGGAATATCCCTATCCCCGGGTATCCCTATCCCAGGGGATCCCGATCCCCGGGATCTCCCGGTTCCCGGTGTGTCCCTATCCCCGGGTATCCCTATCCCCAGGTATCCCGATCCCCGGGATGTCCCGATTCCCGGGGAGGATGAGTGCGAACGGCTCTTCCCGAAGCCGCAGCTCATTCCCAGGATTTAACTTCCCTCTTTACCGACCCCTCTGTCCCCGGTGTTTCCCTGCGGCGACATCTCCGTCCCGAACTACGAGTCCCATGAGCGCGGCGGCACCGCCCGGGGGTGGCCCGGGCAGGGGATCCCGACGGCTCCGCCTGTTCCCGATCCTCCTCCTGTTCCCGGCAGCTGCGGAGCCTTCCAGCCGTGCCCTCGGTGAGTGTCTCGGGGGATGGGACAGGATCGGGGTCTGGTGTCTCCCCCCGGGGTGTGATGCTCCCCGGGATGTCGCAGAGGGTACCAGGGCTGGTACCAAGTGGCAGCGACACTTTGACTTTCGTTTCCCGGGGGATCTAGACTGGGAGCGGTGGGAGCATCCCGGATTGCTCCTCTCCAGCCTCCGGGACCCTCCTGGGGGTTGCTTGTGTCCTGGTGTCCAGCAGCGGCTGGAAAGGAGTGTCCCATGGGAAGGAGAAATCCGTGTCGCTCCACGACTTCGGGACGCTGCAGGATGATGAAGGAAACAGCGGAAAAGAAGGAAAAACCCCTAGGGAAGCCCCGAGGAGAGAGGAGATGTGGGTTATTCCGCTCCGGGTGAGCTGTAGTGATGCTTCATCACCCCGAGGTGTGGCTGTCCCTGTCCCTGTCCTTGGGGCTCCACCAGCCCCGGGGGCTTCTCCTGCCCTCCCCGATGACTTAGGAGCTGTTTGGTAATGAAAACGGGATGTGGATAATTTGTTCCTGCTTGGTTTCTCCTGGAAGTCAAGTCCCTATACTCTCTGTGCAGTTTGCTTCCTTCAAGATCACAAAGATTTTCACCAAACCCAGCATCTTTTCTAGTAGAATAATTTTGTTGCATCCAGACATCATTTTCTTTAAAAGTTACTTATGGCACCAAGGGCTCCAGTCCCAGGGTGATGCAATAACGTTATTAAGGTGTTGTCTTTACATTTAGTTTATGGTTTATTTGTATTTTCCCCCCTCTGGTGGCTCTCAGGAGATCTCTGGAGTTCAGGAACTGCAGATCAGAAGGTCCAGCAGGGCAGGGCAGGATGACATCAGCCAGGCAAAGCTTGGATGAATCACACCTTGTCATGTGTTTTTCTGCAATAACTAAAAGTGAAACTACAGCCCTGGATGTTCTAGAAGATTTTGCCACGTCCATTCCCAGGATCTGCCCTGCCTTCTGCTCCCAGCAGGAGGAATTCCTCATCCTCCAAGGCAGCTGTGGCAGTGCAGTAGTTGGTGGCTCATTCCACCTTTGGATACTTTTTCCATTCCAAGCAAATCATTGAAGTCTTAGTCTAAACTCCTGCCTGGTTTTCAGAAGAGGTTCTTTCCCCAAAGGGTGTTTGGGCACTGGGACAGGGTTAGGTTGGAGATCAGGACAAGGTTCTTCCCCCAGAGGTGTTTGGGCACTGGGACAGGGTTAGGTTGGAGATCAGGACAAGGTTCTTCCCCCAGAGGTGTTTGGGCACTGAACAGCTCCCCAGGGCAGTGTCACAGCCCCAAGGCTGACAGAGCTCCAGGAGTGTTTGGCCAACACTCTGAGGCCCAGGGTGGATTGTTGAGGTGTCCTGGGCAGGATCAATGCTCCTTCCAGCTCAGGATATTCCATGATTCTTTGAAATGTTGCAGTGGAATAGTTGTCCATGATCACTGGAATGGTTGTCCATGGTCACTAGGATGGATGTCCATGATCACTGGGTTTGTTTTTCATTATCAGCAGGATGGATGTCTGTTCAATATGAACTTTCCCTCTGCTCTGAGGTCATTCCTTCTCACTCAGACCAGCTGAGGAGTTCCTGCTTTGGATTCCTGGGATGGCATTGTCTGGGATTGGCTGTAGGGTTTTCCCAGCCCCTTGTCACACTGCCAGGGCTGAGCCTAGTGCCTGCAGGGTGATTTAGTGCCTCTTTCCAGCCCTGCCCATGCTCCTGGCACTTGGGATACTGCTTGGATCCATGCCTTTACTCCAGATTTACATTGTGTGATTTGTAGTGCCACACCAGGCCATAAAGTTTTCCATGGAGAGAACTCCACAAGCTTTCCTGCTATTTGCTGACCCTGCTGTCGTGCAGTGGGTTCATTTCAGTGCTGGGAGTCATCTTGCAGTTCCAGCTCAGCTGTCACGTGTAGCAAGGCTATAACAGCCTGGGGACACAGGCTGGGGACACACAGCTCCCACAGCCTGGGCAGGATCTCCTCTCCCATGGGAGCAGAGCTCAGCCAGGTACCTCTTCCCTTGGAGACAGGATGCTGAAGAGGAAAGATGCTGTGTTTGGAGGTTGAGTCATTGTGTTGGAGAGTGTCCAAAGGAGGAGCATGAGGATGGGGAAAGGGCTGGAGGGGAAGCTGAGGCTGAGGGTGATTGGTTTGTGCAGCTGGAGAAGAGGAAACTGAGGGAAGACCTCAGGGGTGTGCAGCTTCTTCATGAGGAGATATGGAGGGGCAGCACTGACCTCTGCTCTGTGTGACCAGTGACAGGACCCAGGGAAGGGCTGGAGCTGTGTCAGGGGAGGGTTGGGCGGATATTAGGACAAGGTTCTTCCCCCAGAGGTGTTTGGGCACTGGGACAGGGTTAGGTTGGATATCAGGACAAGGTTCTTCCCCCAGAGGTGTTTGGGCACTGGGACAGGGTTAGGTTGGATATCAGGACAAGGTTCTTCCCCCAGAGGTGTTTGGGCACTGGGACAGGGTTAGGTTGGATATCAGGACAAGGTTCTTCCCCCAGAGGTGTTTGGGCACTGAACAGCTCCCAGGGCAGTGGGCACAGCCCCAAGGCTGACAGAGCTCCAGGAGTGTTTGGGCACAGGGTGGGATTTTGGGGTGTCCTGTGCAGGAGTTGGACTGGATGATCCCTGTGGGTCCCTTCCAGCTCAGGAGATTCTGTTCTGTGGATTCTATGGATTTGAATGCAGAACACCAGTTATCCTGTGTGTGCCCCCACAGTCACCCAGTGCAGGTGCAGTGTGGTGGGACTGGGACTGCCCAAACCTTGGAGCAGGATAAATTATAACCTGCTGTTTGTACTTGTCCTGCTGTTGGAGCAGTAAACCCTCAACTCCCATTCCACACCTTTCATACCCTCATGGCCACAACCACATTGGAAGCATCTGGAGGTAAAATAATCTCTTTACTTTTTCCTCTTGCAGACTTCCATGATGGATGAGACCTCTGAGGAGCCTCCCACTTCTGCTGTCTTCTTGGACAGCTGTCTCTTCTCCCAGGTGGTCTTTAACAGTGTGGAGAAGTTTTATGTTCCTGGAGCAGACATAACCTGTTATTACACCCTTACACCCAACATCATTCCTCGTGGGAAGGACTGGGTGGGCATCTTCAGGGTAAGTGGATCTGTGGAACCACATGGAAGCAGCAACAAGCAGAAATAAAGAGCTTGGAATTTGATAAAAGAGGGATGGAGAATTTTTTTCCCATAGTAATATTGTGTAATGGAACATCTTCATTGTGCTGTTAGGGACAAAGTGCCTGAACTGTTGTGTCCTGAACAGCTTCAGAGCTAATCAAACACTTCAGTGTTCCAGGCCAGGTTGGATGGGGCTTGAAGCAACCTGGGCTAGTGGAAAGTGTCCCTACCCATGGCAGGGAGTGAATGGATGAGCTTTAACCTCCTTCCAACCCAAACCATTCCATTATTATCCTTTCAAGCATAGACCACAACCCTTAGAAGTCAGGAAATCACTTCAAAAATCTTCCCAGTTACTGATCTCTGTGGAATTAAAGCTCCATGTCCCTAGGAGCTGTTTGATGCCATGCACCAATTTTGCTGTTGCAGGTGGGATGGAAAACCACCAGGGAATATTACACATTCATGTGGGCCCCTCTGCCTGCTGATGTCCACAGTGACACTGCTGTGCAGCAGCACATCCAGTTCAAAGGTGAGTTGGGAGCTTGGATCCCTCAGGGAACACACAGCCTCCCACTTCACTGCCACCAATAAACACAACACTGGGAATTCCAGGATAGCTGTAGGACCATGTTTTGGGAGACTTCTTTCAAATTCCCTCCTAAATCATAACTTTTGGAATCTCTTAAATCCTGCCTTCCTGAGGAGTGGTGTTGTGTTGTTAGCACTGACACAAGGAGCTCCTAATGGAGCAGGAACAATCCTCAACTGGGATGTGGCAGTTTTCTAAGCTTCTCACAGTCTGTGCTAGAATTAAGAGGCTTGAATCATTCCAAGCTGTGTCTGATAAGGTTGTTGTGTTTGTCTGAAGCTTATTACCTACCCAAAGATGATGAGTACTACCAGTTCTGCTATGTGGACCAGGATGGAGTGGTCAGAGGGGCCAGTGTGCCTTTCCAGTTCAGAGCAGAGACTGAGGATGATATCCTGGTGGTTACCACACAGGTATGTGTCCTCTCTTGCCCTGCTTTTTCCTGCTCCAGCTTGTCTTGGCACATCCTCACTGCTCACATGGAGTGATCCCATAACCTGCATGCCAAACTGGAGCTCAGCAGACTTGGATTCTATTCTTGGCTTTGCTACTCATCTGTCACACAGATTTGAGCCTTTGTTTCTCTTCCTGCCATTTACCATGTAAATTGTGAGCTCCTTGGAACAGGGAGTGACTTAACCCATAGTTTTTCAGGGCATTTGGGGTATTTTGAAGTGAAAAGGTCATAAAGGAAAGAGCTGCTGTTAGATGGGAGTGAGGGTAAGCACAGGGATAATTACTGGACAGGGACAAGGGGGAATGGCTTCAGCCTGACAGAGAGGAGGTTTAGATTGGATATTAGGGATAAATCCTTCCCTGTGAGGGTGTTGAGACATTGGCACAAGTTGCCCAGAGAAGCTGTGGTTGCTCCATCCCTGCTGGGAGTGTTCCAGGCCAGGTTGGATGGGGTTTGGAGCAACTTGGGCTGGTGGAAGGTGTCCCTGCTTATAGCAGGGAGTGGAATGGATGAGCTTTGAGCTCATTCCAACCCAAACCATTCCATGACTCCAATAACTAAGGTGCTGTGAAGCCAATCACTTATTCCCCAGTGTCTTTGCTTAGAGACTCCTCTGCACACATGGGTCTAATCCAAGCCAAAAGCCCCAGACTCTGCTGACCTCTGTGGGCACAGAAGTCATTGAGCATCTCCAAAGATCAGGATGTGCTCTGTCCTCAGGCTTTGGGTTGATGATCAGCCTTGGAGTGACGTGGAGAGTGAAGAGCAGCCTGGGCTGTGCTGGTAGTGACAGCACAGGGAGGGACATGGTGTTCCCTTTGCACAGCTCATCTTTCCTAGCTCTCCACACTGGGCTCTTTGGAATGTGGCTTTTTAGGGCTTCTGTTCTGACCAACCTACTTTGTTGCTTGCCAGGGAGAAGTGGAAGAGATTGAACTACGGAACAAAAATCTGCATAAAGAAAATGAGGAGCTGAAAGCAAATTGTGCAACTCTCCAGAAACAAAACCTGGATCTGCAGGAAGAGCTCAAGAAGACCCAGGTAAACCAAAGAGTATTAAAGCAGAAGAATGAAGTCTGAAAGATGAAAAGGGACTGAGTCAAGTCTTGTTCCACTGAATGCTTCCAGGAGAAAATTAAAGAGGTTTCTTCTCCCCATATTATCTGTTCAATCCTTTACCAAATCTCACTGGGATATAAAACCAATCAGGATGAACAAGAGACATGTGCAGACACAGGAGTCAGGAACATGCAGAGTGTGTTCAAAAATGTTTTGTGTGCTGAAAATCACATTGTCATTATCTTTTCCTCCTTCAGTTTTGCTCAGGGTTTAATATAAATGAACCAGGGTCTGAAAGAGGATGAAAAGAGGAGATATTCCTCCTTGGATGTGCTGCCTGGTAGTGTTGTATTTGAGGGGTTTGGCAGCTCCACTGCAGGGAGGATTATTGCTTGGGTGCCATTTCCCTCCTATTTCCCTCCCTGTGATTTTCAGGAGCTGCAGAACAGTTTGGAGTCTTTAAGGAGCAACACAGAGAAACTGGAGCTGGAGCTGAATTCCCTGAAAGTGGAAAATCAGCAGCTAAAGGAGCAGGGTGACTGCAGAGAGGCAGAACTGCACCAGTAAGTGCATTTCCAACATAGCTCCTAACAGGATTTCATGTAAACTCTTTGCCTTTATGGATTGAATTCCCACTGTGAACATTTGCTGTGTTCTGGGTTGTTCTGAATAGACTCCAAGAGCAAATCCAGACTGCGACCTCTGACAAGGAGCACCTGGAAAACAGACTGAAAACAGCCTTGGATCACATGGATCAGCTGCAGGTAGCAAACCCAGAGCTGCTGTGCATTGCTTGCAGGAACTGTCTCTGGTGGGATCAGTTTCCTTCTGAGCAATCCTGAGCAAGTCTGTGAGTTTCTTTATTGATGACTTGGGTTCTTCAGGAAAATGACATACAGATCTGATTTCATCTCCAGGAAACCTCCAGAAATCTGTATTCTGAAGGAAGGGTAGAGAGGGATGAGCTAAGAGAAAATGTAAGGATTTTATTCCCTAAAGTTATGCCCTCTGCATGCTCATTGAGTGACCAGTCCCAGCCTGGTGTTTACCTCTTGCCAGCCAAGAATCCAGGCAGAAACACTTCTGTTTTGGAAAACATCCTAAAATGGTGTTCAGACCTTGGGTGAAAACAGTACTGGGAGTTGGGAGGGATGTGGAGGGAGAAGATAGTTTGGAAATGGTTCAGTTTGGGACATAGGAGACCCAGAACTGTGGGATAAACCCTCTGGCTGCAGAGTCTCTGCTTTTCCTCTTTCTTCTCTGATTTGCCAGACTAAAAGTGTCATGTTGCAACTTAGGAAGCTCTTGAGAGAACAGATGAATGAATGATCTTCTTTTTTCCCCAGTCTCAAGTGTTGAATTATGAGAAGGAAGTGGAAAACTTAGCTCATGTGGACCATGATAAGACAGAGCAGCTGGAAATTTTGAAGGAGGAGAATCGGCAGTTACGGATCAGCTCAGCTCAGCAGGTAAAGCCTCTTCCCTTTCCCCTTCCCTTTCCCCTT